TCCGTATGTTTTTTAAAATTTCCCCTGATATTTTGCTATGAAAAAATTTTAATATTCAGAAAAGTTTTAAGATAATAGTGAATCCCCACTCAACTCTACTTGCCTCATCACGTATTTATTTCTCTACCCACCCCCCTATCCACCCATCAGTGATCTTTGTTTATTTGATGCATTTCAAAGTGAGTTGCAGCCATTGATACACTTCACCCCTAAGCACTCCAGCAGATCATGAACTAGACTTCAATATTTATTTCAGATTCTTCTATTATAGGTAAAATGTACTTATAAGACAATGTCCAGATCTTAAGTAAATCACTCTCTGAGTTTGGCAAATGCATACATACATTTTTTGTAGTCCACAGCCCTATCAACATATAGACCCTACCATCTCCCAAGAAAGTTCCCTCGAACCGGATCCCTTTCCAGTCAACCTTCCCCTCTCAGAGGGTCCCATTGTTGATTTTGTTCACTGTAGGCTACTTTTGCCTATTTTAGCAACTTATATAAATGGAATGATACAGTCTATGTGCTTTTCGGTTTGGCTTCTTGCTCTCAGCATAATGCACTTGAAATTCATCCCTATGTAGCCTATACTAATAGTCTGTTCCTTCTCATGGCTGAGAAGTATCACTTTTTATTGATGAATAGTGTTGCATTGTATGAATGTACCAGAGTTTGTTTATCCATTTTCCTTTTGAAATAGTTTTGGGCTATTTTTAAATTAAATTAAATCATTTTTAGAGACAGGGTTTTGCTCTGTCACCCAGGCTGGAGCATAGTGGTATGATCACGACTCACTGCAGCCTCAACCTCCTAGGCTCAAGTGATCCTCCCGTCTCAGCCTCCTGAGTAGTGTGTCTATGGGAGTGTGCCACCACGCTTGGCTTATTATTTTATTTTATTTTACTTTTTGTAGAGATCAGGTCATGCTATGTTGCTCAGCCTGGTCTGCAACTCCTGGCCTCAAATAAGTCTCCCACGTTGACCTTCCAAAGTGCTGGGATTACAGGTGTGAGCCACCACAACCAGCCTGGGCTATTATGAATACAATTACTCTGAAATTCTTGCAATCATCTTTTTGTAGACAATCTACTGTTGTTATTTAAAAACATTACCCTTTGTGTGTCTTGCATTGCAAATATGTTTTGCTCTATTTTTTTCATTTATTTTTTGACTCTTTTGGTGCGGTTTTTCCATGTTTAAATGGCTAGCCAGTTTTCCCAACACCAAGTACTGAGTGTCTTTCACTGATTTGAAATGCCACTCTTCCCATAGTCTCACCCTTCCTCTGACTCATCTGTTTTTTGCTGTGTCCAGGGCCATTTTGTTTTAAATATAGTAGCTACACGACACTTTTTTGTTGTTGATTGTTTTGTTTTAGATACAGGGTCTCTCTCTCATCCAGGCTGGAGTGCAGTGGCGCGATCATGGCTCACTGTAGCCTCGACCCCCTGGGCTTAAGCGATCCTCCCACCTCAGTCTCCCAAGTAGCTAGGACTATAGGCACACACCACCATGCTTGGTTTATTTTATTTTATTTTTATTTTTATTTTTTGGTAGATGTAGAGTCTCACTCTATTGCCCAGGCTGTTCTTGAACTTCTAGGCTCAAGCTATCCTCCTGCTTTGGCCCCCCCCCCCCAAAGCACTGAGATTACAGGTGTGGATCTACCACGCCTGGCCTCATGATGTGTTTAATGTCTAATAGTGCTAGAATCCTTTCTTGATTCTTCTTTTTTTTTTTTTAGCAATTTACTGGCTACTATTAGCTGTAGTCCTTCAGATGAATACTTTTGAGTCATTCTGTCATGTTCCAGGAAATAATCCTGCTGGTTCTGGTTCTTTGGCATAGTCATGATGGATGCACACCCATCCCTCCCAGTTGACTCTGGCAGGTTGGGGACCATGTCTGTCTACCTCCTGTGCCTGACACATGCACATTTGTTGAGTCACAGAATGGCCACACACTAAGGAAGCCAGTCATACATGCTTCTTCACTACCTCATGTCCTCTGCCAGACCCCTTGGCTTTCCCTGCTGAAGGTCAAGTGAGAGTTATAGCTTGCCTACGGGTTTGACTCTGGGATCCTCAGGGGCGTGAGCCTATTCTAAGGGAAGAGGGAGGCTCTGGGATCCCATATGTCTCCCTGGGGACTTCTGGCAGTTTCCCCTGGGGTTGGGTCAAAGATGGAAAAGGAGGGGTTGATGGGACAGCTTGTGGAGGGAGCACCTCCCCTGGGAAGGCATTCAGGCATCCACTTGCAGCTTCCCAAGAGCCATGGACAGCTGAGCATTTTCTGTCCCACGGTCCTCTCAGGAAAGAACTTGCAGTCGGAAAGAGGGTGCCATAAGGGACATGGTTACGGTCGAAGTAGGATGAGGTGAACTTATCCGTGGGGGACACCCAGCAGCTTCCATGCTCCTTTACCCTCTTTTCAAGGGGCCTTGAGGGCTTCAGCCCCATGTGGTTCCCAGTCCAGTTAGAGCTGTGACCAGCGGTACCATGTTCTTCTTAGCTGGGATGTCAAGATGCCGAGATGGTGGGAAACTGGGATGCAGGAATGTAGCGACGCAGGCTTGCAAACCCATTTGTCTGTCCAGGGAAGGAAACCAGAAGATGGGGAGAAGGGGAAAGAGTCTCAGAGTGAGAGGAGGGCATAGAAGACGCAATATCTTCTTGTAGAGGGCAGGAGAGAATGGACCTCAGGGTGAGAGACAGAGCCAGGCTGCAGGCCAGAGGGGAAGAAGGGTCCCAGAGGTGTGTGAGCCCCAGGGGCCAAGGGGCAACAGGTTTCTGGAAGAAGGAAGTCCAGGCCTCTGAGCCACTGAGGAACTGACTGTATGGCCAGGAGGAAGTTAGTGCTTTAATCTTAGTACTTAGGGGGAAGAAGCCGGGACTGGGGCCAAATCGCTCTGGGTCGAGGATGTGGGGGAGGGGAGGCAGGGTGGTACCACTCCTTCGAAGGGCTGCAGGGAGCTAGTGTTGGTGCTGCACAGGGCGTGGGGTTGAGTGGGTCGTGTGGCAAGCCCCTAGGAGGCATTCAGTGGAGGAGAGGCTGACGGTGCAAGCGAGAAGAGAACTCATTGGTGGGACCACCATTGCCAGGAGGGGGCGGGGGAGGTTTGGTTAGGGTCAGGCAGCCGGAAGTGGTCAGGGAGCTGTTTTGCACTGCAGCCCACTCTGGCTCAGCCTTGGGGTCGCCCATGTGGTTGGGTGGGAAGTTGAACCCTCTGGGAATAGGAAATGGAACCAGCTGTGTGGGCCAAGCTCGGCTCGCCTTCTTGGGTCTCTGAGGACTGGTCGAGCTGAGTGGGTCCAGCTGTGACCCTTGAAGCTCTCAGGCAGGCTGAAGTGGCCCATTGGTTGCGCCAGGCTGGGATGTCTACTGGGTACAGGGCTTGGCACCCCAATGGGCAGGTGTGTCTGACTCTGAGGCAGGGAAGGGTGAATGGACCTCCTGACGCCCAACTCCTACTGCCCCTGGGCTCACAGAGGGGGACAAGACGGCTGAGCCCAAGTGCATTGGTGTGACCCTGAGGGAAAGCCAGGGCACCGCTGCGGCCTGGCATGGAGAGGATACTTCAGACAGAGGGGAAGAAACACTGGAGCTGAAGTGAGGGTACCTCTTACAGAGACTTCCTGAAGGATTACTCCCTGAGGTGCGCAGGGAGACAGAGGCAAAGATCCAGATAGGAAGTGGCGAGGGCCATTCACCTGGCTGCAGAGTGGGCCTGCATGGCAATGAGGCTGAGAGCCAGGGCTTTGGGGCTGTGACTCTTTCCACGCCCCTTTGGCCACCTCTGGCCCACTTCTGGCCCCTGAGCTGAAAAGGCCTGGGTACCTCAACCTTTGCCCTTAATCACGGCCATTGAGAGTGCTGGCTGGGGGCATCTTCTTAGAGCATTTCCAGACCTCAGCCCTGGAAAGCTGGCATGACAGGGGTCATTTTGTACCTTAGAGGTGGGAATATCAACTCTCCCAGTCACTTAGAGGGATAAATGTGATGATGTTTTTGATTTTGACTATATCTGATTTCAACTGTTGCTTTGGCTGCACTCATAGCACGTAAGGTGTGTGTGTGTGTGTGTGTGTGTGTGTGTGTGTGTGTGTGTGTGTCTCGCCTAACCCCCTCCCCATCTTTGGGGAGATGAGGCTTCATCGGTGAAGTCCCGGCCACTTTGTGGGAGAGGCACAGGTCTCAGCTGCCTGGTGGTGTCATCAGAAACTTGGTGGCTGTCTTTGTGAAGTGAGGGTATTTCATTCTCTTGTGCAGCAGACATGACATGTCACTTGCCTCAGGGTCCCCCTCCACCCCTCCCCAGCGAAGCCACTCTGTATAGGCATTCTTTTTTAAAATTTTTAAAAAATTAAAAAAATGTTTTTTTAATTTTTAAATTTTAATATATATTTTTTATTTTAAAATTGTGGGCTACAGTTAAGAGTTATGTATACAAATATTCGTTGGGCAGGTACGCTTGTTGATGAGGTGTGCCCCCCTTTCCCCAGACAGATATGGACTACCGTTAATCCCACCTCCCTTCCCCTCCCTGTTCCCCCGCCATAGTTTCCCGTGTATAGGCATTCTTTACATGGAAGAGTGGACCTTTATTTGGGTGTGTCAGGCACTTAGTGGAATCACAGGGGCCCTGGACTTCAGAATCTCACTGCTCCTCGGGGTTCAGGGGCTGCATGGTCTCCCCAGATTTAAGGGGCCCCATGCAGAGATCAAGTCAACAAAGTAATGAGCTCAATGCTGCCGGCTGCACTCTCGCTCCACATTCAGAGGTGGCAGGGTCTCCCTGAAGGAGGCCAAGTGTGGTCTTTGGTGAGGGCAACAGGAGGACGGACTCTCAGTGCAAGGCTCCCCTGTCCCGCCCCCAGCATAGTGACTTTAGTGACCAAGACATCAGGCAGCTTCTGAGAGGACTAAAGACATTAGCAGGCTTCCTGACTTGGGTTTGTAGGCCCTGAATACTCCCTTGAAAAATGAAAACATGGAGGCACTTTTCTCCTGGCTGTTTATTATGGAACGAAGAAAAAACACACTGGCTCGAAACAAATTTCAAATATAGAGGCGAAATACGAGGTGTCAATTAAAACGGGATTACACAAAGTCTGAACACTGAGAAAAGTTTACAGGACAGTGGGTGTGGATTCTCTATAACAGACACTTAAATATACATGACGATAATTGCAGATAGAAACCATCAAAGACAAACCCCAAATCAACTATTAATGTTTACAGACGTTTGCCCCCCCCAAACCACAGAACCTTACGTCAAAACAAATCCTGAAAGGCTTCAAGCCCTGAGAGGGTGCACACGAGTTGGGGCTTTCTCTGTCTGAATGATGATGGGAGGAAGACACTGTCGTTCCTCAGGGTGGACTACTCAGACAGTGCTCAGCTGACACCTACTTGTGCACTGCTCCGAAATCTAGAGACCCTCTCAGTCTACTGGCAAAGTATCTCTGGGGGCACTTGACAATCAAGCAGCTTCTGTTGTAAATGCTCGTTAGGAAAGAGCTAGCAGAGACGGAAAGCTTGCAAAAGAGATTCAGAATCACACAAGGCGATAGAAATTTTAGTGAAAATGGAAATAAATGGCCAAGTGTTTTTAAATTTGGCATTTGTCAGTTTCACAACACCTCTTGGTCACATCCACATTGCTCATTATGTCAAAACCAGAAGCGACTCAGCCACCTAGCTTAACAAGGTATCACTGGAGCGAACAACACAGTCTGCGTATTTGTAACAATGTATAATAAACACAAAACAATGCATAATAAACACAACTCTACCGAAACAAAAGCCGCCACTTTATTTACAAAGTCACAAAACGAAGTATAAATACTTCTGTCATCAATGTTTAGGAAAAACATTTACAAAATTTTCAAATATGTACAAGTAGCTTGAAAAATCACCAGCTTTCCATTTAGTCACAGGTAGCGAGAGAGGAATGGGCCTAGGCTGACACTACTCACATCACGACAAGGAGACAAGTGCCACTGTCTGGAGACAGGTGGGAATTGGCCGTGGATTCTCACCACTCCCTAGAGTGACGTCAACATGGGACTCTCTATAGACATACTGCTCAGATTTCAACCGCCTCTACATCTTGCACGAGTTGGCTAGCATTCTGGGCTGTGGCATTTTGGGCAGCGGCATGCTGTCCCAAAATGTCATCGATCAGCCTCAAGTTGCACACCCAGTCTTCATCTGGGCCCACGCTGGAGCCTTTCAAGAGAGCTTCAATGAAATCCACCTCACCACAGTCAGGTGGTGAAATCAGACCGTTTAGTGGGGGCTGGGGCAAAAAGCTGTCGGGTGGCGGCTCAAGGGGGGTGCCTGTCCGGTTGAACGGACCTGAAAGCTGGCTGGCGGCAATGACAGAGGCAGTAGCAGCGGCGGCAGCAGCCACGTAGCTTGGTGGCTCGAAGCCCTGTACAGGACTCATGGGATTGAAGCTGGCCACACCCTGCTGGAGGGACTTGGTGGGGTTTGGTCCAGGCACGGGGCCCCGCACCGGACTCTGTCTGAGGCTTGGGTTGCCCAGCAGGCTGAAGCTGGGGTTGGCCAGGGCAGCGCTCACCTTCTGGTCAGGCCTGCCTCCGGGGGCCAACTGGTGGGGGAGCACAGCTGCCTGCTGCGACGCTGGGGTTAGCGGGGGCACTTTCACAGACACCTTGGCAAAGATGGAGTTGCTATCGAGATGTGGCTGAAGGCTAGTATCTACTTGGCTTGGGAGTGGTTCTCTTGAAACTGCTGCGGTTTCAGCAGCTGTCGCTGAGAACCAGGCGGCACTATTGAATACAGTGGATACTGTTGGCACACTGGGCTGACTGGGCTGGTGGGGACTCAGGGACGGGCTGCCCAGGGGGCCGGGACAGAACCCAGGCAGGGGCAATCCTGGGCTAGTGGTCTTGGGACTCTGCGGCCGCTGGCAGACAGAGTCAGGACTGCTCAGGGGGTTCTGGCCCAAGCTCGAGGGTGGGGGAAACCGGGGGCCAGAGTCAAAAATTCCTTGTTGCTTCCCTGGAGTTGGGGAGATCATGTCCATGCCTTCAAGACTCTGGCGCCCGGTGGGTGGGATCATTCCTGGACTCGGATGGTTTTGGAAGAGTCCAGTTCTGGGTGGCATCATATATTGGCAGGACGAGGGGCTTGCCTTGGTTTGGCTAGACTTGGAGGTGAATTGTTCTTGGACGGCTACAGAAAGAGAGAAGTTGAGGTTAGTTCCAGAAGCCACTGGAGGAGAGAGCCTGTGACCCAGCACTGACTTCTTCTCGACTCCCACCTCAGCTCCCTACTGAGCCATCCCTGCTCCCCAATTCCTCTCAACTCCCCTCATTTCCCCCCTACCCCAGCCTGGACTGCAGTTCTTCTGGAAAGCCCTCCCTGACTCTCGAGGCCTGTGCTCACCAAGAGCAGACCACGTGGGACTGAAATGCCGGCTGATCTGTATGCCCGTTCAAAGAGACCGGACGCCACGAGGCCAGGGTCTGTGTCTGCTTTAACACTAAGGGCTCTGCGTGAAGTGCCCAGAATCATCCCTTGACTGATGGTGTGCATTTTGTAGAAGAAAGGAAGGAACGGGGGAGATGAACTGGAGGAGGTAAGCTAATTCAGTGTCTCAGCTTATCTACCTGGCGGACAGGACACGGGATGGCAAGTGTGGCGAGAGCGAGCGCAGACGGTGTTTTATTCCCCCCTAGACAGTCTCTGAGCACAGATCTGGGGCTCAAACAATGTTTGTTCAGTTGAACTGCAGTGGGGTTCCTTTCCAAATGTCGAAATGTGAGAGTCGACATTCTGGCCTCCCCGAGTTCTCTAGAACCTGGGTGTGGAGAGACACCACGCACGAGCCGGGCCGTGGGATCCCAGCTGCCTACGTGGGACGTGCACCTCCTCATCGTCACGAGCACCCACTGTGGCCAATATCCACTGTGGCCCATGTCTGCTGGCATTTTTGTGGGGCGAACACTGAGACCTGTAGCAGTTACATGGTTTCCCTGAGGTCAGATAGGAGACAGTGCAGTCAGGATGCAAGCCCAGGTCTCACTGACTCCTCCCTTCCTTAGAGTCCATGCTCGTAATTATGAATACATTTTTGTTGTCTTGTAACCGTGCCTAGGTTCTTTTATTACCGTGGCATGGGTCCATTCTTCAACTAGGTTACAATCGGGCCTCATAAGGTTGGCCCTCCAGAGGCCACCGGGCTTCCTGAAACTCGTCTGCACTATTCCTGCAGCTCAAGTGTGTCTGACGTGCCACTCCATGCTACGTAGGTGGGACACAGATTTGGCTGGTGTCAGGTGCAAGGGGATGGGGTGGGGGCAGGTGGATGAGATGGAGGAGCCATGGTGGGGAGCCAACAAGTGCTCGGTGCTCCCCGGAGTACCCTTGGCCTGGTCCAATGTCACCCCTCTGGCTTGTGAGTGTTGCTTAACTCAGGACATCTGGGCTGGTCTGTAAGCTCCACGAAATAGGAACCATGCCTGACTGGCTTTTTGCTAACTGTGGTATCCCTGGCCAATAAATGTTGATTACATTCATAGCTGTCATAGTAGGGTGGCGACCCTTGCTATCTGAAGAGGCACTAAGAGCCTCTGACACAGACTCTGAAGCAGAGACTCCTCAGTCCCTTTTCCCCTTTCTGTCCCTGACGGATGGCCCAGGAAGCCATTGGAAATGGAAGGTCACTCAGCACTGTGTGAATGTGTGTGGGGGAGGGATGCGTGTGGGGGAGGGATGCTTAAGGGAGTGAAGCAGGATCAGAACTCCGGGTGATGTGGCGGCCCCCAGGTGATTATGATCCACACCTCAGGGGGTGTGCCTTTGTCCCATTGAGAATAACTGCTTTAAGGGGCCTGACTTGGCTCAATCAATCTCTTGAATTATACAGTGACTTTGGAGTCACTTAGACCCAGTTTTCAACGGGGATCTTGCTCTTAGAGTTGGACGAACTGTTTTCAGTGTGAGCAATCCATCCTGGGTACTATTTAAGTGACTCTGAGCCCTCCCTCTCTCCCTCAATGCTTTTAGAAACAGTTACTGCTTACTCTGAAACGAATTCTCACCCCATCGCTACACACGAGCCCCGCCACCCTCTGGGAACATTGACCTTAACTACTTACCTTGAAATTGACTCATCTGTTGGGCGATACACGCACTCTGCTTTTCAGGGGTCATTGCCATAAGACCTGATCTCTGCTTCTCTTGCTAAACAGAAGACGAGAAAGATGTATTAGATTACAGCTACCAAGAAATAGGAACCTTGGGATCACTGAGTGGGGACCTAGGACTTGGTTTGGTGTAGCAGAAAGCATGAGTGAACACACCAACACACACTTGCATGCAGGTCCCAACCACCCGAGCAAAACTCCACAGGTAGAAATAAAAGTAGGAATCTGCACCTGGGTTAAAAAAAACCAACTGCAGTAGCATAGGATGGGGCAAGAGAGACAGCACTTAATAGCAAGAACACACACACAAGATTTAGGCATTTTGGATGTCCATCTGCATAGGATGGGTCAGCAGTGAGATGTGGTCACCAAAGGAACACATGTAACATTGGACTGAAGTCATAGAAGCAGAGTATGTAGAAGGAGGGAGGTGACAGTCCTATGCTTCTCTGCCTTGGCCAGACCATACCCACAGTGCTGACGGGAGCCTGGGTATGCTAGTCTCGGGGAGACCCAGATGGATTGGTTGTGTTCAGAAGCTGGTAAGCATTGACAGTAGGCATTGGACTTCAAGTCACCTAGACGAAGAATGGCAGAGCAAGTTGGGGTGATGGTGGGTGCCCAGCCTCTGCAGGGTTGTCATGGGGAAAGGACTGTGGGGAAGGACTGAGGTTAGTTCCGGGTGGTCCTGGCACCAACAGCCGGACGATCACATGGTCAGATGGAAACACTGTCCAACACTGGGAGTAGCCAAACACCCACTGCCAGCTTTCCCTCCTTCTCCTGACTGGTTGGAGCATAGGTAATCAGGAGGAGCTTCCTGTTGCCAAAGCTGGGCGGGGGAGGAGTCAGGCTTCAGGGCCATGGTCCCAAGCACTCAGTCTGGGACGGGCTCAAGGGACCAAGGGGAAGAACATAACCTGAAGGGAACCAGATGAAGATCCCCAGGCCTGGAGAAGGCACGACTCACTCCGAGACCCTCAGCCAATCGGTGCCAGGCTATGACCGGGGACCTGGGTCTCCCGCCCAGTCCAGTGCTTGACGTCCCCTCCCACGCAGCTGGGGCGGCCCAGCTATCTCCGTTCACCTGCTACCAAGTGTCTCCCCTTTTCAACAACCAAGGCAGCTTTGTCAGGGGGCAAATGCCCCAAGTCCACTGTCTGGCCTGTGTCCCCCCAGATGCCAGAAGACTCGACCCTTCCACACAGGCTGCCGGTGTAGCGTCTGCTTTTCCAGCAAGGGGCTTCTGGGCACCCTTCTCTGCACTCAGTGGGGCCGAGGGAGAGAGGGAGGGGCAGAGGGCCGGCCTTGGGAGTGTGCCCGGCTCTCTGGCCTGGCAGCAGTTCCAGGCCTCAGTTCCTGCCAAGACAGAGAGGACAAACACATGGCACCGGGAAGACTACACCAGAAGCGATTTCACCAGACTGGGATTTGCTTTTCCATCTCAGCCTCTGCGGGCTTCCTGTCCCAGTCCTTGTCTTCCCCTCCATGGGGGCTGCTGTGGGGGGTGATAGGGACCGTTTCTCAGTTGCCCCATGGGGTTTCCCTCTATCTGCTGAAGCACTGGCGGGTGGCAGGGGACATGTTGGGGACTGCCTTCTTGAGAGCTCACCATACTGGGCACTTTGCCCCCATTGATTTCATGTCATCTGGCAGCACCCCCGCTTGGACACCAAAGAGCACGGGGGTCACATGACCACCCAAGGCCACACCAACCGGCTCTGTCTGAGACTTTTCAGGCGGGTGACCGTTTCTGAAAGCAGATCTTTCACTCTGTTCTTCCTTGCCCCAAGACAAGGCAGACCTACAGTATATCCCAGCTTGCTGATGTGACAGCAGAGGCTCAGAGAGGTTAAATGACTTGCCCAAAGCGACACAGCTAGGAAACACAATGTCTCCTAACTGCAGACCAGTGCTTCCACCACTTCTGGGGATAAGTTCCTGTGTGGCCTGCTAGGTCTCCACCGACCCTAACTCCATCCCCACTGCTTGCCTCATTCGTTTCATCAAATAACACAGTTGCGCAGGCGTGAGGGGCAGGGGCAGATGGCAGCTAGGGAGTGCGACCAGAAGGAAAGCAGGGGAGGGCAGACAAGCCCAAAGGGAGAGGTGGAAAGAGAAAGCCAAGCTTGAGGCAAGCACAAGGAAAAGGCTGCTTTGGGCAGGCTTCAGCGGGTATGGGTGAGTCTTCGCCCCAGGAAGCACGTGACCCAGAGCGCCCGAGAGTCTAAGGGCAAAGCTGGTCAGCGTGTCACTACGCCAACTGCCAAGGCCAAACAGCACCACTGACACCAAGCCTGGTTGCTGGTGGCCAGCTCTGCAGGACCCCTGAGTCTGGGGTGCCGCCAGTGAGTGGGGGCCCTCCGTGGGCTCTTCGTCCCCACTGGGGTGTCCAGGGGTACCGCCAGTCCTCTGCTCCCACCCTGGTCTGGTTGTCCCTGGCCAAGGAGCAAGGGCGGTCTCCAGGCCTCCTGAGGAGGAGGCTTCCTTTGTTTTGCAGAGGAGACTCCCATTCTTTGTTCTGAATCAGTATGCTCCAAAGATAAGCCCCAAGAAAACAGTTGTTGCCATTGACACTGACAATGCAAATCGTTGGAAAATGGAGAAAACAGGAAATGACAAATGGTTTCAGTGACCAGGAGGAAACAGGGGCTGAACATTGCTGCTTAGTGTCTGGGACACTCGCACTCTGCCTTCTTGTGAACGATGGCCAAGGCTGTGTGACCTTTTATAAGCAAACTTAGGGAGAAGGTCGTCAAATGACTCAATGTTCTAAAGCTGCAGTTGTCTCGGCATTCGGTCCTATTGTACCAGGTAACACTGACAAGCAGCACTGACAGGTGGGCCCTGTGTGATCCCAGGTGCCCTTCTCCCACGGTGGCTACCATGGGCTCCCTAGGGCTGGGGCCAGCACCAAGGCAGGCCAGGCTCTTCCTCTGTCAAACTCCCTCCCAGTCTCCCTCAGATAAGGGATCGCATTCACAGACGTGTCTCAGCCAAGATGGCAACCTTGGAAGTTCTGGAGCTGCCTTTCTGGAAGCTTTATGCTGATGTCCAAGAAGCTCGAAAGCCCCTACCTGTCCCTGGGGGCTCACGGAAGGGCTAGTGCCTCATCTGGTGTGCTGGTCAGGAGAGAGCCAAAAGGCCAGGCCAGCCCAAACCCCACCACTGCCTATCGGCACAGCTAAGCCCAATACACAGCCTGCCAGAAGATCAGGCCGGGCCCTGTGCCAGTTCCACCCACCAGCCGTCACATGGTCATGTCTCCTGTTTACCCCAGTGCAATCACCTGGAAGCTTCTTTCTCACCACTGCAGAGGAAGAGTGATCTCATTACTAATTCAACCACTTAATCAGGCAAAAGGGCTCTCTAATTGGGGAGAGGCAGAGGGCAGGTGATCAGCAGGACACACACACAGATGCCCACAACATATTCCTGGATTTCAGCCTGATTCAGATGGAAGTTATCGCCCCATGATCCCCTGGAGAAGAGCCTTCTGACTCGGAGGGGGACTCAAATGAAATAGCTTCTGGGGGACGGCAGGGAATAGATCCAAAGCCTTATTGTATAAAGCATGTTGGAGGAAGGGAGGAAGAGGGAGAGAGAGAGGGGGAGAGGGAGAAGGAGGAGGAGGAGGAGGAGGAGGGAGAAGAGGAAGAGAAATAGGAGGAGGAGAAGGAGGAGAGGGGAGGGGGAGGGGAGGAGTAGGGAGGACAGAAGAAGGGAGAGAGAGGGAGAAATGCCCTCACTTCACTCCCCCTAAGGAACTCCTGTCTCCTTTCCCAGTAGACACTGCCCGGTGAGTGTCCCCACACAGAGCCAGCCTGCTATGTGGCAGAGGGCACACAGCTATCTGTCTCAAAGGTCAATAAGCTCTCGCGTGGGTTTGTTTGTTTATTACTTCACAAGGAGAAGTTCCTTCTTTTGTAGTTTTTGGAAGCCAGAATTGAAACAACTCACCCACCCTTCTGACTTTTCCTTTGAAAGGACAGGAAGATGGCGTATTGCATGGGACCGCCATATATTGAGATTTGAATTCTGCGGTCCCCACCCCTATGTGGGTGACCCCCTCTCCCGGGACCTATGGGATCTGGCCGGCCATAGCCCATAGATGACAGCAACGAAGATGCTGCTGCCCAAAGCCTAGCTGGAGTGTGGATGAGTGCGCTTCTGTAAAACTTCCCCTCAGTCACCCATCAGAAACTACAGAGGCTTCCTACGAAGAGTGGCAGGCAAGCTTTGATTGGTACCTTAGCTTCCTCCTAGATCTCAGAGCCTGTGATTCAGTTTCTCCCGAATGCCTGCAGGAGCTTTGGGAGTGAGGCATCAGGCCGCTTCTGTCCGTGGATTGCCAGGGCCAAGATCTGGAGTGGGGCCCACTGAACACCTGCCCTTTCGAAGGTGCTTTTCCCTGCCCAGAGGGCAGGCAGAGGGATGCTGGCCTTGGTGACTCTGGGGCCCCCAAACCCAATGGGAAGGTAGGGCTTACATGACAGCCCAGCCAGTCCCTCTGTCGGCCAGTCGACAGTAATTTTTCACTGGCCTACTATGGGCCAGGCTCTGTCCCAGACACAGGGATATCACCATGTGTCTCTATCCTCATGGAGTTTACAAGCAACACGAGTAAATCCATCAAAGAAGATCATGTTCTAATAACAACCCAGGAGGGAGAGGAGAAGTGGAGCGGGCAGACACTGGCAGCAGCCTCAGGTCAAGGCATGAGGCCCTGACAGGGAAACTGGGACTCGCCACACCATTCTCGACATCAGGCCAAACCTGGGGCGGTGTCGGCCTGCTGGTATCTTTCCTTGCCCCTCTGGATCATGGGCACAGGAGCTAGGGACCTCCCCCACGGTAATGGGGCCACCCTTAGGTTGGAACTGGTCTGAAGGTGTCATTGGGGGCTTCACAACATAAATGCCATCAGAAGTGAATGGCAGGGATCTGTGTAGGTCATTCTTTTCCCCTCCTTTTTCTGTCTTTGCCCTTGACTCACGACTGTGTAGACTCTATTCTGACCCGTCCTCAATCTCGGCG